TTGACATGAAATTTCCACCACATGCCAGTAACAACCCATGCAATCCATATTTACAAAGAAACAAAAAGAAATATGTTCATAAATTAAGTTATGTGTAATAAAATGGAATGATACATAAAAAAAGTATTGAACACGAAGAAAGGGAGGTGCAAAAAGGCATACAATGCCAAGACACCAGCTGAAATCTATCAGTAATTAGAACGCAATCCTGCCCCTTGTTATTGCAAATTTATCAGCTGGTTCAGTCTCAACTGATGGCCTATAAAAAGGTGTTTCATTACCAAGGTGTCACACAAGAAACATCTCATGTTGGGTAAAGCAAAGAGCTCTCTCAAGACCTTTGCAACCTTATTGTTGCAAAACATACTGATTGCATTGGCTACAGAAGGATTTCTAAACTTCTAAATGTTCCAGTGAGCACTGTTGGGGCCATATACTGGAAGTGGAAAGAACATCATTTTACCATAAACCGGCCACGACCAGGTGCTCCTCACAAGATTTCTGACAGAGGAGTGAAAAGAATTATCAGATGAGTTGTCCAAGAGCCAATGACCACTTGTGGAGAGCTTCAGAAAGACCTGGAATTAGCAGGTACAATTGTTTCAGAGAAAACAATGAGTAATGCCCTCAACCACCATGGCCTATATGCACACTCACACACAAGACTCCATTGCTGAAGAAAAAGCATGTTGAAGCTCGTTAAAAATTTGCTGCACAACATTTAAGACGAGACCAAAATCAAACCCTTTGGATGCCATAATACACACCATGTTTGGATGTCAAATGGCATTGCACATCACCCCAAAAAATCCATACCAACAGTGAAGTTTGGAGATGGGACCATCAAGGTGTGGGGCTATTTTTCAGCATACGGTCTTGGCAATCTTCATGTCCTTGAAGGAAGGATGATTGAAGAAATGTACCAAGACATTCTTGAGAAAAATCTGCTGCCATCTACCAGGATGATGAAGATGAAACGAGGGCGGACATTTCAGCAAGACAATGATCCCAAACACAAAAGCTAAGGAAACTCTCAATTGGTTTTAAAGAAAGAAAATAAAGCTGCTAGAATGGCCCAGTCAATAATCACCTGACTTGAATCCAATAGATGATCTATGGAAAGAACTAAAGATCAGAGTTCCTAGAAGAGGCCCACGGACCGTTCAAGATTTGAAGGCCGTTTGTGTGGAAGAATGTGCCAAAATCACACCTGAGATGTTTTGAAACCATCATTACCAACAAAAGATTTTGTACAAAGTATTAAATAAATTTCAGTTAGTGTGTTCAATACTTTTTCCCTGTGTAATTGCATTTTATTACACATAACAATTTCTGAACTTATTTGTTTTGGTTTCTTTGTATGTATGGATTACATGTGTTGTTACTAAAGTAGTGAACATTTCATGTCAGTATCACCTTTAGAAATATATTTAGTGAGAAAAATGGTGACGTGTTCAATACTCATTTTATCCGCTGTATACTAAATACTTTTGTATTGTTTGTTGTATCACCATGGCAAAAGATTGAAGGAAAAATTCCCAAAACTTGCCAGATTTCATCTTTAAGAACTTTAAATGTTGCCTGGGGTTTTGCTTTAAATTACAACTGTTTATGATGCTCCTATCAACCAGTAAAATTTAAATATTAATTCTCCAGTTGTGATTGGTTAGTACAGATGTAGTATTGCTATATACATACACACACAGAACATTCGTTCTTCAGACACAGATAAATGAAAAACTGTTGACAGTCCACAAGATGTGCAAAAAAACCCAAAAAAACATAAATAGCCTGATTCTTAATTTGCACACTGTTAAGGTGATCTTAACAAGGCAGTGAACACTATTCAAACTACAGCTATTTAGGTCCAGAGTGCCTCAAGTTCAGCAAGACAGTGTGCTGGTTTCAGTTTAAAGTGGTTCTAAAGGCTGAAGCGTTTTACACTTATCTTCTCAATGAAAGGCTCTGCAGGGGTGGGGGGTGGTGTTAGGACAAGTCTGATCATTGGAGAAGAGCAGGCTGAGCTCCCAGCACAGCTAGAGAGCTGACCACCCTGTGTGACCACCTAGTGTGGTCAGTTTTTAATAGGAAAGCAGAGGGACTGGCAGGAACACCAGGGATTTCACACAAAGGAAGCATACCAGTACATGGTACAGCAGACACATATCAGGAATATGGAATGTTGGGTTTACATAAACATGTACAATGGCCAGCTATTATTTGAAAACCTCTGTCACTGAGACAACATGCTTTCTGGCTCTTTACGTGTCCTTGAACCCTGTCAATCTTTATAGATGTTTATCTATGCAACATACAGCTGCACTGTCATTCCTTGGCTTGCTGTTGTAGTTTTGTTATGCTAAGACCAGATATGTTTATAGAATATATCATTTAGTTTATTTGAATGTATATGTGTGATGGCTGTTACATGTGAGTTGCTTTGAAGCAGATTTTGTTAGGTGTGTATGGTGAATTAGTGTTGAACTAATGCATAAGTGTTATTGAATGTAGTCCTGGGTAGATCCGGGTTTGACAGGCAGGCAAATGGTTAAATTCTGCCTGATTTCCCACATTGCATCCTATATAAAAGCCGCCTCACGTCTGGCAGCCTCGTCTCCCCATGATTACAGCTAATTACATCGACCGGACACCTCCTCGCCCCCGCCATGCAGCTTTAATTGACCGTTATTCATCTGCAGGCTGTCCGGGTGGCAGAGCACTTGGCAGCCCAGCGACAGAGGCCTCGGCTAATTGTCGGGCCTGGGGGATTAGGCCAGGTGATTACACACTTCACGGTGTAATTACATAAGCATCGCTTGGCTGCTGCCCCGGCTCGGAGCCGAAGGTCACTTTCTGCGTTACCTGAGATTAATTGGAGCTGCCAGTAGAGTGCGAGGAGCTGGCGGAGCGCTGATACGATTAGCAGGACGTTTGAGCAGCGAGGAATCGATGGCCGCTCTTCCCAGACAGCACGAGCCGTGCAATTAGTTTAGTGCTGAGCGAAGGGAGAGGTGGGGGGGAGGTGATAAGTGGGGGCTTAGAGCAGGAAAGGGGGGTGGATGCCAACTGTAACCTTAAAGTAAAAACCATCCTGGTGTAAACATGAATATTGGTATTCGTGAGTCTGTTACGACCCTTTTCCTGCCACTCTCCATTGTTCCCCAGATTTGGGAATATTACAGGGGCAGGCCAAGATTTCAATCTACCTAGGTCAAATTTTTTGACCATACGACATAGTACACCTCGAATGGAAATAAAGATTATCCACACATGGTGATATATTAAATCCCTAATATTTTTCTGTCTAGAGATGAAAGCTAGCCATATACATCAGTGTTTTTTTTTTGATCAGCCAGCCACAATTGAGGTGAACGGGGGAATCCTTCCTCACTCTGTTGTATTTTGACAGCGGCACTCCTCCTGCCTGCAGATCTAAGCAAGATTTTACAACAAGCCCGTTCAAAAGTAGACCATCCTTAAACCAACTGCTGTCAAATGGCACTGGCCACAGATGGTTCCTGCTTAACTGGCCAAATTTCGATCCATTTATAGCCAGCTTGACTGAGAAACCGTAATCCAACAGCCAGTCTGCATGCCTCCCAAAACACTACTGTGGTAGCCGCCATCTTATATTGCCATTCCACAAATTCTAGCCTAATTAGGACTAATATTGGTGCTGTTATTTACACTTGCTTACGTAAAATTACAAATGTTCTGTAGTCTCACAGTACTCAAACTCAGATTTTGGATTGGTACGGGATGAGCTGTGTGAACTCTATATAAGCTGCAAAGAACCAGGTACAGCTTAATCAGGTTGTCTTCTCTCTTAGTGACAAAACTAAGAGAGAAGACAACCTGATTAAGCTGTACCTGAGGAGGAATTTGGGGTAGTATAGCAGATTCTTTTATTTTTTGGCTGTCAGTGCAGTGAAAACATGCAGGTGTCTTGGATTTCCATGTGACACTCACCCTGGATTGATAGACTTGCCCCCCCTTCTAGGCCTTATTTTTGGACAACTTTAAGTTTAGTCATTTAAGTGAAGTCCAACTTGGCAACAGTAACAGTTGGAAGGGAAACCTTATTGATGATAATGGCCACTATAAAAATGAGTAATTTTATTTGGAGAATAACATGGAGAGCTTGTTAAAAAAATACTAACCATATTTAGGCTACTTTGACCAACGGAAGGATATCTACACGTGTATTTTCAAGGAAATTGCAAGACAATGCAGCATAAAAGGAAAAGCTGGTGGTTTTGACTGCGTCCCCTCTAGATTAGAGACATTTGTCTTACTAAAGATGGAGTTGTAGGAGACCCATCCATCTGGCCGTTCACTCATTAATTTTTTTTATAACCTTATTACTCTGCCAGTGTGGCAGCACCACTGTGTTGTACATCTGGGCCCCTGCATCTGACTCCATTGTAATATTGTACATTCCCAGAAGCTGCTATATGGACAGTGATTGGCTGCTCAGGTATCCATAATGTCGCAAGTCAAGGCATCACTATCCCCAAGCTGAATTCATTAGGGACCTACTGCTGCCTCTGGAATTGGGGGAAGTCCGATTTTGTGCCATCACACCTGGTATTTGCCTACCCCTTTCATGCAGACAGCTAGGACACAAGAATTCGGTGTATGGTGTGCAGAGCTCCTCCTCCCTAACTATGATGTATAAACCGACAGTACTGCAAGAAAGGACTTCCATTAAACTCTTTTAGCGATTTACTGACACAATTATCACAGTTATTACTTTGCAGTTATAATTGATATTGATGTTACAATCATGCTTGATTATGGAAAGACAAATACGAGATTCCATTTACTGTTATAATGGCCATCTGTACCGCTGGTGTCGGTTTTATGAACATTCTAATAGCTTGTAATGGTGTGAAAATATAACTTTTCTGGCATTATAACTATTCATAATGTATGAAGGTATGACTAAGACTATATGATATCTGCATTTAATACAAATTTATTTTTATTCTTCTCCGCAGGGAAATTTCTCACCCACCCCCTTTGCTGTCACCTCAGAATGCTCCTCATATTGCCTTGGGACCACATTTAAGGCCACCATTTCTTGGGGTGCCCTCTGCTCTGTGTCAGAGTCCAGGTATGTATCCATACGTCCAAATGAAAGGATGGCACCTGTTATAGTTTAAAAGTATTTTGTTATATTTGTTCATTAAATGTAAAAACTTCCTCTTGATCCTGTCAGAAAGCATGTGAGCTGCTAACTTTCTTTGCTCTGTCTGTGCTACACTCTAAATAGCACCATTCCAAGTTCTATGAACTATAAATCACTTCCCACCTGTGTTATGAAAATGGGGAGACTGTGGAAGGTGTTCTGTAGTCCTAACACACTACCCGTCCTAGAGTGACAACATTGATCCTCCAAGGATTGAGCACAGTTAGTAAGCATTGTCACCCTTAGGACAGAAAGTGTGTTACTGGCAGGATCACCAGGTAAAAATAACAGACAAGCCATGAAAAAGTACACTCATGCAGCTACTACATCTAAGGAATGGTAAGCTGCAATATATTACATTTTTATTTTGGGGATTTAGATACTCAAAAATTTCACGTTTAGTGTTTTTGACGGCACCAGTGACAGCACTTACCTTGAATAAAGTGTCTTGTGTGCTGGTGGCTGTTGCGTTAGGTTAAATCGCAAGTCCTCTGCCCAAGATATCCTCAAAGTAGTGATATTCCACTGCTGCAAGGGTTAATATAAGCAGCTTCAGCTGTGACAGGCACTCATCACGTGCCAGCTATGCCTGCCATTTTGGCCCCTGTGCTCCATTCATAGAAATCATTGTTTTGGTTCCAACAATTAAAAAACAAACATTCAGTGAATAGAGGAGACTGGGTGGATGAATGGAAGGTTTGCCTCCTTCATACATAGAGCACTTTTCATTGTGGGAACCGATAGTATGGCTTCTATGAATGCAGCACAGGCGTGCAAAGGGTGGGCATAATCGGTACTTGGTGAGTGTCACAGCTACAGCTGCTCATATTAACCTCTGCAGCACCAGAAGATCCTTGCTTTGGGGGTATGCAGGGTGACAGAGGACCTCAAATTTCAACCTAATACACCGGCACCAGCACACTTCTTTCTCGGTAAGTACAGTCTCTGGCGCTGTTTTCCCTTTTTTTTTTTTTTTCTTTTTACAGTGTGTTATCCATTTTTCTGCAGGTTATGGTTTCTTACAGCCAGCCCAGGCGGAAATGTTTGCACGACAGCAGGAAATTCTGCGGAAACAGAACCTGGCCAGGTGACTGTCTATTTTATTTCTCACATTCTTTAAATAACAGTGTAGCCCACTTCATAGAAACAGCAATCAGCAGCCCTTCAACTGTGCACACGGACACTCCACCACTGGAATTTCAGAAAGCATATTAGGTTTGCAACACATTTCACAGCAAATGTATTAACAAGCTGTCCAGTGCACGCTGCAAATGCATGTTCTATTTCTCTTGGTCAATATGAGCAGTTTTATGTTGTGTACCATGGAATCTATAACCTGAAAAACTAACTGTACAGCTACAAAATGCAGGGTGCTATTATAACCATGTACAGATTTCCCAATCAATTGCATGATACTTAAAGTGGTTGTAAAGGCTGAATGTTTTTTTTTTTTTTTTTTTTTTTTAACCTTCATTCATTCTATGGATGAAGGTAAAAAACCTTCTGTGTGCTGTTCTCCGCACAGCTGCTCCCTTATAATAACCTGAGCCCCCTCTCGATCCATTGATGTGCACAGGAGCCTTGGCTGTCCCCAGTCTCTTGCTCCTCATTGGCTGAGACACAGCAGTTGGAGCCAATGTCAGTCACAGCCAGTGAGCCAAAAAGGACAGCCGCGGCTCTGCATCTTATGCATGCTTAGAGCTTGCTATTGAGGGCATTGGCCAAGGGTGATGAGCTGGCTCCTTTGCACAGAGCAGGTAAGTATGACATGTTTGTTATAAAAAAAAAAAAAAAAAAAAACCCTTTAGATTCACTTTAAAAGAAGTATGTGATTGGAAAAAAACAAAACATGTTTACTCACCTAGATGCTGCATCTGTCCCCCACTGGCTCTGCACTGAGAACTTAATGATCAGACACTGCAAATCACTTAGTTCTCCCCTCTGCTCTGTTCCTCCAGTGCTCACTGGAGCACTGGGCTGTGGAGGGGGGGTGGGAGTGGCTGGCTCAGGCTCTCAGTGGTATGCTAAGAGGCTGAGACAGGTGCTGGTCAGGCTTCTGGGCAGATCCCAACCATATGGTCGGGATCTTCCCAGAGCCTGGACCAGTTGAATGACCGACAGCAGGTTTTGACCCTCTGTTGGTTGAAAATGGGTCACGAATGCAGAACTAATTGCACTCCTGCAATCCATAGAAGTAGGGCCAAAATAGCTTTGGCCATACTTCTCCTTTAAGCAAGATAAACTTCTATATTCACCTCTGTGGTGTGTATCTTTACTCTTTCACTAACTCACTAATTTACCAAGACTGAAACAGCTATGCATAGCAAATAAACTTCTAGTTTTCATTTTCAAAATCTAACTGAACATGCTGAAGTTAGAAGCTGATTGGTTACTATGCACAAGTGCTCCTTTAGTAAATTCCCCCCACTGCATTTATTAGTATTAATCAGACCAGGAAATTGCTAGTTTTGCTAAGATTTTACTACTATGGAGCAGGTTCATAGAGTGCATTGCTCTCTACAGAACTGAAAAAAATGGCATCCATATAAAATATTCAGGTGAATAAAAGATACAGGCACAATTTTAGATTTTTTCAGGTATTTACCAAAACATATTCAAGCTATAGTTTTATAATAGATATGGGCTGAAAGTGAGCACTCTCAGGTTTAATTTGAGGGTATGTACATCCAAATTGGAGGAAGGGTTTAGACATTACAGCTCTTAAGAGTAGCCACCCTCCTTTTTCAAGGGACCAAAATTAATTGGACAAATGAATAAAATCATAAATAAAATGTTCATTTTTAATGTTTTGTTGAGAATCAGTTACTGGCAATGACTGGCTGAAGTCTGGAACCCATGGACATGACCAAAGACTGGGATTCCTCCTTTCTGATGCTTTGCCAGGCTCCAACTGCAGCTGTCTTCAGTTGTTCTTTGTTTGTGGATCTTTCTGCCTTTAGTTTTGATTTCAGCAAGTGAAATGCACGCTCAATTGTGTTGAGATCAGGAGATTGACTTATTGAATTGAATATTCCACTTCTTACACTGCAAAAGCAACCCAGGAGCTTTTGAAGGAAGGATCATTGTCCATCTGTACTGTGGAGCGCCGTCCAATCAACTTTGCTGCATTTGGCTGAATCTGGGCTGACAGTATATCTCTAAACACTGTATAATTCATCCAGCTGCTTCTGTCACATCAATAAACACCAATGACCCAGTGCCACTGGAAGCCATGCATGCCCATGCCATCACACTGCCTCCACCATGTTTTACAGATGACGCTGTGTGCTTTGGATCATGAGCTGTTCCAAAACCTTCTTCACAATTTTTTCTTCCCGTCATTCTGCTACAAATTAATCTTAGTTTCATCCGTCCAAATAACGCTTTTCCAGAACTGGTCTGGCTTTTTTAGATTTTTTTGGCAAAGTCTAATCTGGCTTTTCTATTCTTCAGGCCTATGAATGGTTTGCACCTTGTGGCGAACCCTCTGTATTTGCTCTCGTGAAGTCTTCTCTTGATTGTAGACTTTGACAATGATACGCCCACCTCCTGGAGAGTGTCCTTCACTTGTCTGGATGTTGTGAATGGGCTTTTCTTTACCATAGAAAGGATCATCCACCACTGTTGTCTTCTGTGGATGTACATGCCTTTTTATGTTGCTGAGCTCACCAGTTTGTTCTTCTTTCCTCAGAATGTACCAAACTGTTGAATTACCCACTCCTAATGTTGCTGCTATCTCTCTAATGGATTTGTTTCATTTTTGAAGCCTTAAATGGCCTGTTTCACTTGTATGGACAGCTGCTTTGAACGCATGATGTAGGTTCACAGCAATAGATTCCAAATGCAAATACCACATTTAGAATCAACTCCAGACCTTTTACCTGCTTAATTGATGAAGAAATAATGAAGTACCCCACACCTGGCCATGAAATAGCTTTTGATTCAATTGTCCAATTACCTTTGATCCCTTGAAAAAAGGGGGATGGCTTCTCTTAAGAGCTGTAATTCCTAAACCCTTCCTCCAATTTGGATATATATATCCTCAAATTAAACCTGAGAATGTGCACTTTCAGCCCATATCCATTACATAACTATAGCTTGAATATGTTTTGGTAAATACCTGAAAAAAAACTAGAATTGTGCCTGTGTCCAATTATATATGGACCGAACTGTATCCTCTTCTATTAAAATAAAATCCCTTTTGGGTCATCATAGCAAAAATTCTTATACCCTTGTTGAAGGATAAACACAAATGGAATTCTTGTGGCTGTGCCTTAGCAGGATTATACCAGAGGATAATAAAAACACTCTGCCCCCATGAAGCAGTTGGAGCCTTCCATCATATGGCGTGTCACGGTGATGCAGTAGTGGGGTTGAACACAGGCACAGCATGGCCTCCCCTATGATTGTTAATGGCGGGCACAATTATACTGAATGGTGCAGGAGCTCAGCTAATATGCATGTTTTCGGCCTTCTCAGTTTAAAAAACAAGGTTGGTAACATGCCCTGTCAACCTTTCTCAACTATTTAAACTAGAGCTATCCTTGAAGTACCTTTCCAGGCTCAGGTGTGAGATAAAACCCTGCTAATATTTTCAGCCCCAATTCTCAAAAAAGTTGAGATGCTGTGTAAAATCTATATAAAAACATAGTGCAATGATAGGCAAATCTCAAATCCATATTTTATTCACAATAAAAAACATATAAAATGTTTAAACTGAGAAAATGGACCATTTTAAGAAAAAATAAGGTAATTTTGAAATTGACGGCAGCAAGGGAAGAGTAGGAGTCCAGGTGCTTAACTGGCCTGCCTGCAGTCCAGACCTTTCATTAACTGGAAATATTTGGCACATTTTGAAATGAAAAAATATGACACAGAAGACCCAGGACTGTTGAGCAATTAAAATCCTATATTGGGCAAGAACAGGACAACTTTCCTCTCCCAAAACTGGTCTCCTCAGTTCCTAGATGTTTACAGAGTGTTAAAAGCAGAGGGGATGCTACACTGTGGTAGACATGGCCCTGCCCAACTTTTTTTTTTGAGATGTGTTGCTACCATTAATTTCCAAATAACCTTATTTTCTTCTTAAAATGGTACATTTTCTTATTTTAAACATATGATATGCCTTCTATTTTCTATTGTGAATAAAATATGGGTTTGAGATTTGCAAATCATTGCCTTCTGTTTTTATGTTGATTTTACACAGCTTCCCAACTTTTTTGGAATTGGGGTTCTACTAGATCTGCAGCTCGTGGTATATTAGTGTGATAGTCTCTGAGAAGAATACGCTTTATTTATTGTTATTGAGAAGAATCTCCCCTTTCCCTTACACATAGCTAAAATGATCATTGGTGCCAGTGGTTACTTATCTGAGAGGCAGAAATTGCTTCTTGCTCAAGTAACCCCTAGCAACCTCTGGAGGAACCCTGGGCTCCACAGAATCCTGGTTAGGAAAGGCTGAGCTATATCAAGAAAATGAAAGAGCTGTTGAGACTGGAGTTTTACATTGAACTGTGAAACAATTTGCTTTTTTATTAACTTGTTTTATTAATCCCTCTTTAAGACTTGAAATGTCTGCTGAGATAATACGTCAGAAGGAACTGGAGAACCTACATAGACAGAGACTTTTGGCTGGCGATCCACTGACCCTTCACCCTGGTTTACCACCTGACCACCCTGCTCTGCGTAACATGCATGAGCTCCCAGAGGGCCACCCTTTAAGAGAGGAACTGTCCAGAAGGAATGCCATGCTTGTTCTAAGACACAGTAACACCCCTCTTCTCTCCCTGAACCACCAGGGAGTACCAAGTGTGCCTCCTCCCAAGGAATCCCAGAGTGCAAGAAGGGCAAGTCGAAAGTCTGCTCATCACCGGATGGAAGCTCAGGGAAACCATGGAGAAGCAAAGGAACTCTTGGATCAGCGTTTGAGAGAGGGCGTTTCAGAAGGCAATGACGAGGAGATGAAAGATTCAGAAAGTGAGGCAGAGGAGAAGACAGACAGCTTAAGAGTGGAGCGAGGAGCCTCCTCCTCATCTCATGAACTGCAAGAGTGTAAAGACACCCTCAAAGGAGGAGATTCTGTAAAAGAGTCCAGTGATACTCAAACTCACCAAAGCCTCCCCTGTGGACCTGCAGAGTCACCCACTCATGTCTTAGGACCAGGAATCAGCAAAGGAGATGGAAAGTACTTGCCCACAAATTCAGTGCCTCCACCTCAGCCATTTCCTTTTGGATTCCCCTATGCGGTCAACCCGTATTTCCACACAGGTAGGTACTGTGTCTATTTTTTTTTTTTTTTTATCAGGGTACAGAATTTATAGCAGGTCTCCGACCAAACCGGTTTAATTTTTTTCTAGGAATCTGAAGCCAATGATCAAAGCCTGTTTCATGAATATATTACTGTATTGTGGAAAGTTTCCTTTCACTTCCTGTCCTTGAGAGATGCACCACATAGGACGGGAAGTTAAGAGAAATATTCCCAACAGGAGGACAGTAAAAAATCCAGACACAGGTTCTTCTAACCCAATGCTTTTATATAATGAAATGCTTGGTGAACCATGCCTTACATTTTTTGGATTTTTCATTCCTTGCAATTGCATTTTAAGTCTGCCTGTTCCAGCTTTTCATTGCAAGCACTTTGGTGTTATGTCTCTAAAAGCCATGTAACTGTTCTGGATGCAGAATGCCTGTGTCCAGTGATCTCAAGCCTTTTTATTCCTGCTGGGTCATATGCATGAAAGTATGCAAATAAAAAAACTCAGTGCCATCCATATTGACAGTATGAACCTTTCACCTCCTAACTGGCACTAAAGGCAAGTGCAAAACGTAGCCATTTCCATTCTCTTCCATGACAAAATCTCATTATCAGTATCTGTAGCATATCTTTCATACATTTTACAGGATTTCCTAGTAAGAGCAAAAATATTTTCCATGGACATCTGCAGTACTAGGGAAAGTGAGAGCATATTGTAGCTCACACACACACTACCAGTCTTTACACACATCTGCCACGCTACACATTCAAACGGGTGACACACTCGGTTCAGCAAATCTGCTTCTGTTGCCTCCAGTCTGCTCCCTGGGCAGTAAATCAGGATCACTACCTCTGTACAATCAGCAGACAGGTGATTTTAGGAACAATGCAACTAAGCCAGGAAATAGGGCGACCTTTGTGATAGGTCTGTGTGGCAGAAGCATATGAATTACAGGACTGGCTGAACAGAATTACAGTGGGTTTTTTTGTGGGACACAAGCTAGCTGCTGTTGTGCAGTATATTGGGATAAGCTGGCCCTGGAACTGGTGGCATGTACATTGTCAAGCAGGGATGATGGTGTGGCACAGACATATTGTTTATTGCTGAAGCTGGACATAATTTACATTATAAAATGACCAGATTCTGGCTATACATCCAGCTGTTCTCTGATGTCCTTTTAACAGTGTTTTTCAACCTTTTTTCATTAAAGGCACCCTATAAAATCCTGTTCAATCTAGAGGCACCCATTACAAAATGTAAAAAAACGAAAACGTTTTACAGAACGCAGCAACATCTGCACATGTAGGACACCCAACCTTAGAGCTTGATTTATTCTACCAAAGCAAACACTAACTAGCATTCCAGTGTCTCTCTTCTCCCTCAGACTATCTCTCCCACTCAGCTTGTGTGACCCCAATGCTTACTAAGAGGGGCAGAGAAAAGGATAGCAGGGATGCTGTGCAGGTGCCCGATGTCCTTCTCATCAACTACTTCCATCATTGGTTATGTTGCCAGCAGCTAAAAAGTTGCAAAGGTGCACAATGAAAACCTGTGGTTTTGTGCAACTAAAAGGCAGGCTTCACCCACCCACTGGCTTGTACACAATTTTAACAATTTTTAGGCATTTTGTCAAGGCACCCCTGAAGAAGCCTGAAGGCACCCTGGTTGAAAGAGGCTGCATTCTAAGATGTGTACTCAGACAGCGAATACACTCCGATTTCTTAGTATTGCCTTAGAATTCCATGAGAGGCAAAAATCAGAGAGTACACGGTCTTAGCAGAAATCTTTCAGTTTGTGTGTGTATAAATATGAAGACCTTGCATACCCACACACATACAGAGAATAATACCTGTGTGCACCATTATGTAACATAAAGCAGGTATGGGCTGAGCAGAAAATGAATTAGGGCATTGACAGTTTGCCTTTGCTTGGTGTGTGGGGACCCCATCTCTCATCTTCCCTCCTCCTTTCTCCCCTACTTCTGCTGTCCAGGCGCTGCCTGTAATTGAGTGAGACAGCTGCTCCGGGACTGGATTTAGCAATATTGATTTTGCAATACATTAGGAGAATGGAATTCCTATCACTGTTCCAAAGGCTTCCTGTTAAAGCAACACCTCCCCCTGGCTAGCCCTCATCAACCCTGGCGCCCTGGCTTCTGCATCTTTCATTAAAGCCGAAGCACCTTAAAACTGCTTGGGAAGAGCGGCGCAGGAAGCATTCCCTGAGATCGGCCTTTCTCTGCACAGACTGCTGCCTGATAAACTTGGATGATATTCCCTGGAAACCTTACACTCCACGTAAGCTGAAGAATCGGCGAGTGAAACAACTTAAAAGCGATTCTTCATAGACTATGTGGAACATACCATCACATTTCTCCAATGGTCTATGGGGATATGTTTCATCTATCAAATCAATACTGGGAGTTATCAGATGAATAATAGATCTGATAGCTGGGCAAAATGATTTGCAGCTAATCCATAGCCTGAGGACACCTTGTGCAAATGGAAACATTCACAGATGAATACTGGGAAGCAGATTTCCTTTGCACTCCTCACTTCCTGTCATACGACTTGTTTCTGGAGTACAGCTAGTCTACACACTGCCTTTAAAGCTGAACCCCAATCAGACAGCTAGACACACAGGTGACATACCTGCCAAAAGGATTTGTATTTCTGTCCATCCATCCTGAGATTTACATGGCTCTTCTACACAGTACAGCCCTCTCTATTAGGGCAGGAGACCTGACTTTTCTCTGGTGCAGTTCAGCTACAGTTAGAGCGGTAGTAAAACTTACTTGTAGGTCCCGAGAATATCCCCCAGTTGTGCACCGTATAGGAGATATTCCAGTGTGTAGCAGCTGGTGACATCACCCGTTCATGTGCACTGTACTCTCAATGGACGGCATGCTGTCCTTTGAGAGAGCTGTCCCGTGGCTGTGAAGTCATCACGGCTTGGCTATTCAAATGGCCAGAGCCAACAAACCCGGAAGAAGACTGGGTGAAGATGGAATCCATTTTTCCCCAATTATGACATTATCCTGCAGGGGACATTATTATTATTATTTTTTTTTTTTGCTTGATTTACTACCGCTTTAACAGGTCTTGTCCCATCTCACAGCCTTTGACTGGACAGTGAGAGAAGTCATCACTCCTTCTTTCAGTCACTCTGCACTCTCCAACTGTCATCATGTTCCTTGTCAGCACATGAGCACCGCTTGTCACTCTGCTGTATAGGGGATTACAATAGGATGATGCTAGGTTGAATTCAGGTACTTCTTGCATTTAAAGGTATAATAAAAAAGACAGAACTGTAATTTGTGTCTTTTATATGTGGCTGGAGTTCAGCTTTAAACAGGATGTTTTTGGGTAGCTCTTGTTAGCAGCATACTTTGAACCCTGATGGTTAAGAGACCTCCTACACAATTTGTGTATCATACAGGCCCTTGCCTGTGATCCCAGCAATCTGATATTAGCCAGCATCTGCTAAGGCTTTTGACTGATGTAACTATCTCTTCCGGTATAATTACTGAGCTTCCACATACAATACACAGTTCATTTTTCACTTTCACACTTTGTTACTCAGTGCTATGAACGTGCTTGGTTGTCACTAAGCTATACATTTGTAGGAAGGAAATCCAAGAAATCAAGCAGCAAATGTTCAGATCAGTCCTGTGCAGATAAGACAATAAGGCTACATTCACACCAGCTATTTAGGCCGCATTGTGTGTGCGTCCATCAAAATTTGCTGCAAGTAAATCGCTGGTTGTGCAGACAAGAATAGTTATGATTGCCAGGGACTTATTATAGGGAATGGGGCCGGCACCACACCTAGCCCCTCAGCCTCCATTCTGAGCGTAGTGTTTTTGTGCATTTTTCACACGGTCACATTTTTATTTTTGCAAACGTTTGTGCGCGATTTGTTTAGGTGTTTTCAGGCTTTTTGAGTTCTGCCATTTTTGCATCAACCAACAAAGAAAAATTGAATCTAACATCAATTGTTGCCATGTTTTTCCATGCTATAAAAACGCTCGTGGACGCGCGAGTTACGCATTTCCATGTATTTCTATGGGAATGAAAACTCACCAATCTGCCTGAACGGAGCTACAAAAGTAGTTCCAAAACTTTTTTTTAAGCTTCAGGCACTCTGCTTCAGGCGACTTGGAGTGGAGATGTGAACCATCTCCATAGAGTAATGTTGATTATTTTTCTCCGAGTGTTTCGGAGCTTCGAGCTTTGCCCTACAAAATGCTCAGGTGTGAATGGGGCCTTACTGTTGCAGCAAGAATCAGAAGGTTCCTCCCATTGCCATTTGCACCAGCCTAAATCACGCCTAAAGCCCAATTCTGTCTTTGCAAATATTTGCTGCATGTATGTATGTATGTATGTATGTATGTATATGCTTACCAATCATATGTGTATAAACACCAGCAGGGTATAACTTCTACCTAAATAATGTACCTGGAACTGACTTGCAGTCCTGTATGTCAGTGCTGGCAATCACTATTCATGTAACCAAATTATTGCCTTTGACCTCTGTATAATGGGATTCCTGCAAATATATAGACTGTAGATTTGGCTAAGTGACCCATAAACACACCTAATACAAATGTATCAATTACATTGGAGGGGAAGAAAAAAATGTAATTAAAAAAAAAAAAAAAAAAATATATATATATATATATATATATATATATATATATATATATATATTTTATTTTTTTTTTTTTATTAAAAACCTTTGGCTAAAGGCCATTTGCTCAGTGATGGACTCTGCCAGTGCAGTCATGAGTTTAGAGACCCTGGAAGCCATATGAAGTCAAGAATAGGGCATCCAGTGTAGCTGTGCATCCTGTCACTGTGCTGTAAAACTATGTTGACCTCTATAGCTGTGAGCTAAAGGGGGAGGGGGGGATGTTTATCAGTGCCAGCCCTGGCCCCCATCCTGTCTGCCTCTCTGTGACCGACCTTGTCTTCCTTCTAGATTGTGAGACACGGGACTGCCAGCAAAGCTCCCCCCTCCGTCAAATCTCTCCATACACCCCGGGGACAGCTCAGGAAGCTAAAATCCTTCTATCGATCCAGAACCCTGAGTACAATTAACGCAACCTGGCATGAGGCGCTCCCGCCACAGCCCCTCCCGCCTATTTTGTCAGAGTACAGGAGGAGGGGGTAGGCTCATAGTCTGGGGCCACAACGCTTTTGCCATATAGAACCAGGACTGCTCTTAATTCAGTACAAATCCAGAATAGATCTTGCGTCATCAAGTGACAGGCTTTAATCGTACGTGACATTAATTACAGGTAGGATCGTTAATCTCTTCCCAGAGCCAAGTCTCTGGGTAGCTGACAGCTTTGGCTCCTCTGTCTGGTCGTTGCTAGACATTGTGGCAACTTTTGTCCTCCAGGAACCTGAGGAAACGGCTAATTGGGAAGCCATTCCCAGCTCCAGCCACCCAGCGTCTCTGAGAGATGAGGGCCTTGAAAAGCTGGCGGCAGGGTCTGACCTCAGGCTGTGCACAGAATAATTGAGATGAATTCCTTCCCAGCCACTGAAAGCATTCTGACCTCTCGTTGTCCCACCTTACCCATCACATACAACACAAATATCCTCCATCTACCAGGGGCCTTCTGGTCTCGTACTACAGATTTGCTCTCTCTTATTTTATTTTCTGTTTGGAGAGTTCTACCAACAAAGCATTGTGGGAGAGCAGAGTCTGTACCCTGCATGGTGTTGACAGGTCATTAAAGATGGATGTTAGGCTACAGAATATGTTCATCTTGCTGCTGCCTTGTTTTCTTCGTGGGATTTTAATGATTAATGTCTCTTTCCCTTTCTCTCCCCTTCTTCCCCCACCTCCGCTTTCCCTCACACAACCTCCTCGCCTTTTTTTTTTCACCTTGTCTTCCTATCCCCTCTACCCCCTCTCACTCATTTTTCTGTATCTGCTCATCTTCTACCCTGTCCTGTGTCAGGTGCCATGGGGGGACTCTTCCTGGATGGGGAGGACAGTGTGGTGCTGGAAGACCTCAGCAAATGGACAGTGGAGGATGTCTGCAGCTTTGTGGGCAGTCTGTCTGGCTGTGCAGAATACACACAGGTAATGGGGTCTGGCCATTGTGGAGTACCAGTACCCAAGTCTATGTTCTTCGTTATGCCACTAATTAAGCTTTCAGGAGGCAAGTCATTAACATAACACTAATTTTATAGTTCCATCCCTGGCCAGGTTGTCAAGCAGGGACAAGTGACACGCTTATGTGGTCTCTCAAAGGGTGTCCACTTGCTGGGGTCCTTGCCCCTATAAGCAGCCTGGCAGGGGCCTGAACCCTACAGTAGTCCACCTAGACTGCACAAATCTAATTTGGGTGTACTTCACTTACTTTAAGGTACTTCTATTCCACCATCACCTTCTGTATATTATTCCTTTCTTGCCCTTGCTGATTTCTGTATCTACTGTGCCATTTATTTCACATTAGAGGAAGTTTTATTTCTCATTAGAGCTTGGAGGATGTCCTCTATGTGTCACCTTTTACTGCCCCCTTGTTTCTGTATTCTGGTCTCCAGTCTGAGACAGGAGGTTGGAGTCTGCTGTTTTTTTTCCCTTTCCCTTTTCCCCTGTGCTAATCCCCTCATGACATGCTTCATTAAAACCACCTGCACTGTCACGCTCCCCCTCCCTGCAGCTGGGCCGGAGAGCAGTGGCGGCACAGGCTAGATGTCCGCGCCAGAGAGGAAGGAGAGGGGGGACCGGGACAGCAGGAGAGGTTACAGGGAGGGTGAATGAGACAGAGGCCTATTCTGTGAGTGCAGAAGACGTGAAACAAATGAGATAAACAAGTGGGAAGTGCATAGTACTTGTGTTAATACGAATTCATATCCTAAAAAAAACAAAGTGGAAATTATATGTACTGGACAGCAGTCTTACAGTATGATCTATACCAGGCACTCCATCGTAGACGGGTACCACTTGGCAAAAACTGCCCTGTTACAGTCTTACCGGCATCAAAGTAATTGTCAGTAAAAGTTCAGTAACCCTCAGCAACCATAACGCAGCTGAGCATGGAGCTATTAATGGTGATAGCTGGCTGGATACTGCGCTATACAATTATAGGTAGTGTAGAAGGGGACCGCACTCACACTTAAAGGGATATTGGCCCGCGTGCAATCCATGAAGAAGGTATGTAGATTATCAAGCATGTAACAGGTGCACTCAGCGGGACTTTCAACAGGAGGCACTTCCAATGCAGTGTGTTTTATTGTCAACATTTTGGTGGGGTGCAGACCACTTTTCACAAGTGCTTTACAGTTGTGTATTGGATAGTGCAGTCTGCAAAGTGTTCACATTGGTTCTGTAGAGCTAGTTGGTCTTGCAGTTGCGGTAACATCCTGTTCTCTGTGCAGGTATTTCGGGAGCACTGTATAGATGGGGAAACTCTGCCACTACTGACTGAAGAGCACTTACTGAATAACATGGGCCTGAAGCTTGGGCCAGCACTAAAAATAAGAGCACAGGTATACCCTATGCACCTTGCTTCTATTTATGAAATGCAATTCTCATTTTTTTCCATCTGTAGCAATGCTTACCTATAATTATTGTACCCAACTTTTTACATTGGTGTTCTCCTGTTATTGTTGATGTAAGGCACTAAATCTTTGTCCCAGTCTGGACAACTGCTCTATGGGCTGTAAGGTTGGCGCAGTTTTGCCTCTTACAGGGCCACTGTGAGTTAGCAGAGCTCTCCAGTGATATTAGTTCCCCTCCATCTTTTCCTATGACCATAGCTTCTAATTGACAGCATAGCAGTACCTTACTGTTGTCATGCTTGTTTTTGAAGTGTATTCCTCTTATAATTACCATGTTTTTATTCACAATGCCTCTGCAGCAGTTTTCCCATTCCTAGCCTTCAACTTTTGAAATAGGAAACAGAACAACCAGAGCACTGGTGAAAGTAATGTATCATTAGCTCTGTTGTTTGAGTGACAGGTACACTTTCAATGTGTACACTACATCACTTTAATGAAAATGATATATAGTATCAGGGGCGGACTGACCATTTGGAAACTCGGGCACTGCCCGAGGGCCCGGGGTCAGTAGGGGGCCCCATGAGATGCCCGTTACCTTTTTCATAGGTTTTTTTGAGTTTGGGCAAGGACACAGGGGCCCCATGATCCCCTATTGCCCGGGGGCCCCATGAGTTGTCAGTCCGCCCCTGTATAGTATACTATTGTGAATTGACCCTTATGAGTCACTGAACAAGTATATAGCATGTACATTTGGAATGTCTGACCTGCATAGGGTCAGTGACTGAATACTGAATCCACTGGATTAACATGACGGCAGGCAAGTAGCATTTTCAGGTGAAGAGGTCAGCAGTGGCAGTCATTATATTTCTTTAAGTATTTTTTCTTTATCTAGAAACAGTAATGTGTCTCTACAAATGTTTTTTAGTCTTGTGTTTACAAAAATAAGCTGTCAGATCTTTCCTGGTATGTTAGACTGTCCCCTGCAAATGTACTGGGATTTGTGGGAATCACACAGATACATTGCAGACTGTATCACACTCCAACACAAGATAATAGGATTGTGCTATGGCCTGCAGGTCTTATAATAAAGAGGTAACTGCAGTTTATGGCTTTCCCTTCAGCCCTGGCTGTTTATGGCGGGTGTAATAAAAAGGTTCTTTGGCCAATTGTTCCCCATGGATCAATTCGTTAGAAATGTGCCGTGGTTTAGTAGGGCAGGGAGGGGTCTGAATTGCAGGTCGCTCTCCTAGGCCATATTATTAAATTCTGGGTAGTGATGGGGTGATTGGGGACACAATAAATGCATGCTGTGCCTGTCCCATAAACCCATTCTGAGGTGGAGCTGCTGCAGTTGAGGGAAATAACCTATAACTCCAGCAGATTGAACCTAAGCCAGATTTGGGGAGATTACCATCCATTATTATAGCAAGAAAAGGGGGGTTATAACTACAAATGCTGTGCAGAGATTTCTCTTGGTCTTCCACAAAGCCACGGTGTGTCCAAAAAAACAGAAGAGGGGGATTCAACAATCCGATGGGGGCTATAGAGCTCTGCACTGTTTAAAATAAATCTTTAAAGTTGTAGAGACCAGCTCAACAAATCCCAATTCTATATTGGAAGATTAGTACAATGAATGTAAACACTAATTTGCTGTGTGTGTGTCTTATGGCTGCCGAGGTGCAATTCAGAAAGCGTTCTATAAAGATGTTAAAGTATAATTCCAGCTTCATCCTACCATTAGGACTGTCCCCTCCTAACACCTCTGCTAACTACCCTATGTAAAAAGATGTATATACTTATACCTATTTTCAGGCTGCTCTGGTTGTGTCATCCCCCGTGTCAGCCAGCACTGCTACAGGAAGGGGAGAGTGTGCCGAAAATGGCTGGTGATGCCAGGAACAGTGATGTCACCCATAGGCTTCAATGACCCATCTGTTTTTGGCACTCTCTCCTCTTCCCTGCAGCGGCGCTGGCTGACATGGGGGGGCAGAATCACATGACTGGACTGGAGCAGCCTGAAAATCGGTAATTATACACAGGTGAGGATGGGGGAGGGGGCAATTTTAAGAGTTAGATATGTTTTGCCTTAAATTCTACCTTCAGGAAACTAGGGGACTGTTTTTTACAGCGATCTCATACCGTGTTTTTTATTCATTTCTTCCCCTGTAGATTTTACACATATTATATTGTTTTGTGATTTTTAGCATTTTATTTATATATCTGTGAGAAACATTACATTGTACGTATAGTCAAAACTATTTTTCTATGTCAGGTTTATCCCAGAGATGCAACAGGAGGCAAGTTGAAAACCCTCCAAAGTGAGGGGAATTACTTCTTGGTTGTCACAGGAACAGATGTCCCCATTGGAAGATTTCCCCTCACTTCTTGTTCTGGTCACAGCTATAACATTTTGGATTTCTCTTTACTTTCTGTCTTGGTCACAGGACAAAGAGAGGGTAAATCTCCCCAGCTGGGACGCATACAATAAAAAAGGAAAAAATAGACGGTAGAATCACTTTTGGCTGCAATTATAGCTGAGTCTTTAGTAAGGCTCTAGTAGCGTTGAAAAACCTGTATCCTTATCCTACATCTTTTGTCCATTGTCTTTGGCCACATATTCTAGTTTGGATGTTTTTGAACTGCAATTTTGACAGAAGTCTGGACACAGTTGTTCCATTGAGGAGCACTTTGGGGACATTGTCTTGCCAGGTGTCCTATGTCTCTGCAGACTGAAAAAGATTCTACGCTAGTATTACCCTCTATTTTGACTCCCTTCCTTTTGACCTCAATCATGTTTGGGTTCCCAGTTCCTAAGGTTGAAAAACATCTCCACAAAATGCCAATGCCAGCAGACTTTGCCATAGGGCTGGTGGTAAAGTGATGAGCCCTCCTGGGCTTTCTGTCATGCACTGCGATGTGTGCTAAAGGCAAAATGTTTAGTTTTGGTCGCAGCAAGAGATCCTTTTCCCATGTTTACTGTGTTGCCTACCTGCCTGTATAGGCATTATGCTATACAGTTCAACTTTGAAGAGGCTCCAATGTATGGTCTTCCCTTTCCATGCTGTGAATATTAGCAGAGGACATTGTCAGAAAAGCAGCCCATGGGTGCCCTTCTCTAGGCAGGTGTAATTGTGCCATTTTTTTTTCAATAGATTTAAAGGTGGTATAGAGAATTTTCAGCCTTTGGGATTTTTATACAGGACTGGCACTTCATTAAAATATTGCTCTCATTAGCACTTTGGTATTTAGGGTACTGTTGATTTGGATATGCTCTATGACAAACTTAGGGGTTCTCCGTTAACAGACACTTTTAATTAATATTTTTTTTTTGTTAATGGATCAGTGACACAAGTTTTGACAATACAAAAATATTAATGCAACACAGTGGAAACTCCTCTAGTGACAGTTTCTACAATATGGTAAATGTAAACAGTGGGAGAGAGTTCATAGGAGCAGTGTACACACACACACTACTGTTCTGCACAGAAATTGTAGGCATACACCTGTATATTAAACAATGTACTCCTTGCCATCTTATTCTCTTTTTAGGTTGCCAAGAGACTTGGACGAGTCCTTTATATGGCCAGTTTTCCAGTGGCATTCCCTCTCCAGCACCCAAGCCTGCGAGCAGCAGACAGAGAACTGGGAAGCAGTGAGATTAGACCTCCCTCTACGGGTAGTGCTGGATCTCCCTTTCCCACTGCCCTCCTTCCTCCCAGCCGCATTTCACCGAAACATGAAAACGGCAGTACAGCATACTTAAACGAACCTGCTAAATCCCTTTCTTAACTGGGCCCTGTTGTATAGCTGGATACCTAAACTGCTGCGTTGCTGAAGCTGGAGCTTTGAACAGGAAGGGATACTTCGCTTCTGGACAGCTGCTGTCCCTTCAGCTGCTTGAGAGACTAAATTGACTAATAGGGTGTGAAAAAAAATATTATAAAGCAAAAGTATGGGGAACCTTTGTGGCACATCCTTGACGGGCAAGACAGATAAATATATGTATGTATATATTTTTATTTCCATTGTAAAGAGATCAAAGAGGAACTGGTGGAAGGACATAAATATTCCGGCAATACCTGGAAAATTCACAGGATGTTACAGGAGATCAGCATGAGGAAACGAGGGAGTGGAAACCAGACAGGCGCGCTTGTACAAAGCCATGCCCAGCATACAATGCAGGCCTCCTGCTGCCACAGGCCACTTTTAAACAGCCAAACATGTGAGATAGTAACAGAACCAGATGCTTAATGGGAGAAGTTGATGATTTTCATGTAATGTCCAGAAAGTGTTGGTGATCACTGTATGTTGCCATCTCCCTTCTTTCCTATGCTGTCTATGCATCTCCAGCAACTCTCTACTGTACCAAAGAAATACCGTGCTACCTGGTGGCGGTATATTGCTGGAACTGGGTTCTCTTTTAGTCTGTTCTGCTTCAAGGAGCTCATTACACCATGTTTTCATCCCTTACGATTCTGACAAGCTAAACAAATTGTCCCACACACTGTCTGCCTTGGTTTTTCCTCATGTAGTTGATGGGGGCACAAGATCTAGAATTCTGCTTTGGACAATCTATAAAACAGCCCCCATGTAGGTTTCAGATGAAGCAACATGACCGACAACAAATGGAGCCTGAGCTGGTGCTGCTGAACTACTGCAAGTGGACAAAAAGCCTCTTTACATCCCCCCAGAGACTTTATCATAGGTACTCAGTCATACAGACCGGTACGTTACTTCATTGTGAAAATTTTTTTTTTTTTTTTTTTTTTAAGGGTTTCTGTTTTGAATACATGTTTTACATCATACCCTAAAGCTCCTTCATGGAATGTTTATTTCTGTTTTCCAAAAACAAATGAAAACTAGATCAGCGGTACAATTAGCATTTTTTTTTTTTTTTTTTGTTACTGAAAAAGAAAATCCTGACCTTAACAGATCACCAGAGAGCTGCATAGCAGCAGATTGAAATAAAAAGAAAAATTATACAAGCAATGTGTGTGGTATCTGTGAAAATGTTAAGTTGTAGGAATGTGAGTTTGAAGGTGCTTGCTAGGGCTCCTTGAGCAATGGATCTCATAGGAACCAGTGGCATCAATGATCTTTGTACAGCAGGCAGACTTACCATTGGTCAACAGCCCAAGGGGGCTCTTTATCCAACTGTCTGCTAAAAGAAGGAGTCTTCTTCTGCCGCTGACCACCAAATAAGGGGGCAACTTTCCACTGATTATCACTGGAAGGGAACACTATAGATGTTCACAGTTTCTTAAATTCATGATTACTAAGTACAATTTTGTTTTGTCTATCATTTTTAACACTACCTGCTCCTCTGCCTTGGGTGTCAAATACCCCAAGGCAGGGCTTAAAATTTAAAGTCCTGAGCTACTAGCTAGGCCTTAAGAGTTACTCGCCCCCAACAAACACACACAAACACAGACACCTGTACACACACAGACATGTACATACACACATATACACAGAAACATGTACACACACGCACAGAGACACATGTACACACACAGGCACATACAGACACGCATACACACAGATACATGTACATACAAAAAAATACACATGTACATACATACACACGTACATGCACACACACATACATGCAGACACATGTACAGATACACACATGTACACGCACACACACATGTACACACACAGTGCTCTCTCCTCTCCCCTGAAGCCACCACTGGCTGACAGAGGATCATGTGACCAGAGTGAGCTGAAATGAGGTAGGCACACACACACAAACCTATAAAAAGTTGCAGTACTTCGTTGTTCACTCACAGAGCCGGGTACTGCACTCTAGGGGGAGGCAGAGAGCACAGCACACACTCCTTCCTTTGCTTTCACTGCGCTCAGCTATTAAGCAGTCTGACGGCTCCCAGTGCCAATAACAGATCCAGCCTGAGCTCCGAGCCTGCTCAGCAAGATAGCCCTGGGGGACACACTCGCCCTCACCATTGGCGAGCAGGTGAGTGGAAATTTCAAGGCCTGCCCTAAGGTATATCACATTCACAATTCTTTAATCGCTATAGAAGAAATCATTTTCACTTTTCGATAAATCCTCTATTAAGGTATTACAAGAGCACAAGAGTATGAAAAATGTTGAGGCAGGCCTATGGCATGTAGATCCAGAACTGTACAAGGGTGACACCTTTGTGTCATTGTACAGAGGCTCCAGAGAATGGGAATGGTTACAGAAACTTCAAACCTTTAGAATTTATAGTATTTTTAGATCTATATGTAAAAGATCAGTTTGGTGTGAACTGTAGCCAGTGGCTGCACTACGGGTTCATTACATACACCAGATCAGCATTCTGTTTTACAATACAACACAATGGATGTGCTTTGCTGCTCCTTCTTACAATCCTGACTTGCGCACAATGCTGCTCTCCCTAAGTTTCTGATATCCTCTCCTGATTGTAATGCAATCATCGTGCCTCCTTCCTTAACAAAAAGATGGAAGAACTTGCATGTATAAATGTAAATATCACATCACAATTACCTTAAGGTAAACACTGTAATAACTCAAAGTGTGTGCTCCCTGACTCACCATACTTTCCCTTTGATAGCAAGTAAACAACACACATCACAGGCTTTGTTTGAATGTATCATGTCTCCTACACTGTAAATCCATTAACTTAACAATGAGTATTCTCAAAATGGGCAATTTTCTTATTAAAATATAAAAGGTAAGGAAGGCACTCCTAATGTCCCAAGTGCTAAATAAAGCTCAAGCCTTCATTACACAGCTATGCAATACAATCTGAGGTAAGGTTGTGTACATCATTGCAGTCCACCACTTGTGACAATCATAATACAAGAAGGGTCAGCGCCAGGACAGTCCTGGTAGTGAAGAGGGTTAGAGAGCCGAAGCATTATTGTCAGCAAAGACATAAATGTACCCTAATTATTGCTGCATGGGTTAGAAGTTAGACAACCGGATTTGGTGTTTGCTCAGCTTAAAACTAAACGGTGAACAGCTCTCCTGACACTTTCATTGGAAAAACATTTAAAAGGCTGTATCACCATTAATGGCATAAATATATACATTACAGCTTTAAGGGTCATTTAAAATTCTGTCCATTTTGAACAATTATTATTACTTTTTAACCTGCTTCTGCCATGGGTTCCCCTCTCTATGCTGCCTAGATTGTAGGATGTCTGACCTTTGGACACGCAGCCTCAACACTTCAAGACTGAACACTCATTTAAGAGAGCATGGTTTGTCTAACTGCGCATGCGCAACTGGCTCTCTATTCGCAGCAGCTGAGCTCAGTATCCCTGAGAGTGCCGAGCATGACAGAGGGTATAATACCTGCAATGCTTTGCAGCCGCGGCTTGTGTACACCCCTGGCCGCTGCCTAGCCAGCAAAAGGAGCAGCAGCTGATCAGCGGTAAGAATGCAGCTTAACCACTTGGTTCCACCCCCCCTTAAGTCCTAAGTACTTACATTCGATGTAAAGCGTCCCCTTGTGCTTCTGCCTGCCCACCTTATCTTAACAGAAGTGTAGTCACTTTAAACAACACTTTAAACAGGCTTTGGGTAAGCTTCCTCACTTCTTGAAGACTGAGTGACAGTCAGTTCTCATAAAGCTTGTTATGCACCTTATATTGGGAACTGCATTCAAAACTTGCCTGTAGTTTGGGGCACAGAACGGAAGGGTGAAAATTGCTTTTAGGTTTATGGCACTGAACATTGGGAAGATTTCTACTTATTCCCAAAAAGAGTGGTCATCAAGACAGGAAGTGAGGAGAAACGTTTCCAGTGAGGACAAAGAAATGATTAAAGTATAACTAAAGGCAACCTTTTTCCAGTTTTGGATTGAGTGAGAAGTTAGAACACCTGTCAGATATCAATTGTTGTCTGTGACCCGATTAGGGAAATTCTCTCTCTATTTGTCCAGTTTACCATGATCATCGAAAGTAAAAGAAAATCACTAAATTTTGAGTTGACATCAGAACTAAAGGGAAATCTTCCACTGGGCCCTCTAGTTCTGCTGACAACTAGCTATTCCCTCTCACTTTCTGTTGTGGCTATGCACCGGAAGTGAAGGTAAATCTCCCCAATGGGACACAGATGAGACAGACACAAGGTTTTTACTGAAGCTCCAATTTAATAAACAAATAAAAGGGAGTTTGTTGTTGGTATACAAAAAACACGGTTATATAATTAAAAGGTGGGAATCAAGAAAACCTTCAGTGTACACAGAGGTGAATTTGTGAGCTGTGCACTGGGATATATACTAAAGGGGGGAGTTAATGAAGCAGAGTTTAGTTTGCCTAAGGGCTCATGTCGGTAGACATTCTGCATTTGCTATCTGAACAGAAATGCATGCACTAGAAATGCATATGCAGTGTTTGACCTGCTACAGTTCAAAAACGTGATTCAATAGGACATGCTGTGTCCAAAGAAATACAATGCAAAGCAGGGGAAACACAGACTCTAGAACACCATTGACTTTAATTGAGCAGAACACACGGCAGATTCAACACATCCAAAACACAAGGAAAAAAAAAAAAAAAAAAAGCTGACAAGACAGAGCCATAACCAAGTTTGGGAAGGATCCCGACAACATTATCAAGATCCATTCAGCTGCCTGATGGACTGCTCAGGGAGCAGCTAAAGCCAGAGCCAGCCACGCCCACACCCACTCTGTCTACTGCCAACCCACTCAGGGACAGCTTAAAACCAGTGCCATCCACACCCAATCCCTTACCACCATGACAGTCCAATAAGCACTACAGAAGAAGGACAAGGAGCAGTGACTGATAGCCACTGC